GCAGCCACGGCGCTGTTTGAAAGGGACAGTGTCGGGGCGCAGGTGGAACGGGCGGGGCGAGGGTGCTGCCTGCCCTCTGGGGCGAGAGGAAATGAAAGGCATTTTTGCTGAAGTCACCAAGATGTGGGGCTCCCGAGTGTCCAGAAAGCAGGTCTCTGTCCGGGAGATTCAAAAGCAAGGAGGGCACTGTGTGTTCTTAGGTACTCCCCCCAGAACATCACAAAAACACATTCTGGTCCTGTTAAATGACCAAGAACACTGGTTTCTGATTAGATGAGGGGGAAATCCTGATCCCCTTGGTAGTGCATTAAAAACAAAAATCATGTTTTTACCTTTTAATAATATGGCCACACTTGTGGAGTTTTTTCCTATTTTTTTTCTATCGTTTTCTGTAATAACAGTAAATGTATAATCATCATAGAAAAATTAGATAATATCCTCAGCATAGATTTCTATAAGAAAAATTATTTGATGAAATTATCTGAACCCCATCAGTGGATGGCATCATGTCTTGCCCTGGCTGGGTTGCTCGGTTGGTTAGAGCAGCGGTCGCCAACCTTTGCGGAGGGTGGGGTGGGAATCGGGTGGAGGGGAGCTATGGGGTGAAAAAAGAGGAACAACTGTAATAATCTTAACAATAAAGATTTAATAAAAAAAAAAAGCCAGTGACTGCGACACCATAACAAACGTAACGACCATAACGACCAGTCGCTATGACACCCACTGTAGCCAGCGAACCAGGGGATCAGGTACATATGTCTCCTTTTTGTCCCATTGACCCAAGAGCTCCTTTTTTTTTTTTTTTCCGATGCAAAAGCATAAGAGTCGACCAGTCGCGACACCCACTGTAGCCAGCGAACCAGGGGATCAGGTACATATGTCTCCTTTTTGTCCCATTGACCCAAGAGCTCCTTTTTTTTTTTTTTTCCGATGCAAAAGCATAAGAGTCTTTATTCGAGCTAGCTCGGCTCCCCCACCTTGCTGACGCAGCGACAGGAAGCAGAGAGAGAGAGAACTCTGTGTGGAGAGGGGTTTTATAGGGGGTTGGAGTAAGGGGAGGAGAAAGGGCTGTGGCCTTGCCGATTGGCCAGGCGCAAGTCGGTGTCTTGTTCCTGGGTGTGGCTAGCAGAGGCTTAGACTTCCGGGAAGAAGCTCCTTGCCAAGCACATGGCCAAGGTAAGATGGAGCACTTACCCTGGGGCAAGATGGAGGGCGTAGCCCTTACCCTGGGGCAAGATGGAGGGCGTAGCCCTTACCCTGGGGCAAGATGGAGGGCGTAGCCCTTACCCTGGGGCAAGATGGAGGGCGTAGCCCTTACCCTGGGGCAAGATGGAGGGCGTAGCCCTTACCCTGGGGCAAGATGGAGGGCGTAGCCCTTACCCTGGGGCAAGATGGAGGGCGTAGCCCTTACCCTGGGGCAAGATGGAGGGCGTAGCCCTTACCCTGGGGCAAGATGGAGGGCGTAGCCCTTACCCTGGGGCAAGATGGAGGGCGTAGCCCTTACCCTGGGGCAAGATGGAGGGCGTAGCCCTTACCCTGGGGCAAGATGGAGGGCGTAGCCCTTACCCTGGGGCAAGATGGAGGGCGTAGCCCTTACCCTGGGGCAAGATGGAGGGCGTAGCCCTTACCCTGGGGCAAGATGGAGGGCGTAGCCCTTACCCTGGGGCAAGATGGAGGGCGTAGCCCTTACCCTGGGGCAAGATGGAGGGCGTAGCCCTTACCCTGGGGCAAGATGGAGGGCGTAGCCCTTACCCTGGGGCAAGATGGAGGGCGTAGCCCTTACCCTGGGGCAAGATGGAGGGCGTAGCCCTTACCCTGGGGCAAGATGGAGGGCGTAGCCCTTACCCTGGGGCAAGATGGAGGGCGTAGCCCTTACCCTGGGGCAAGATGGAGGGCGTAGCCCTTACCCTGGGGCAAGATGGAGGGCGTAGCCCTTACCCTGGGGCAAGATGGAGGGCGTAGCCCTTACCCTGGGGCAAGATGGAGGGCGTAGCCCTTACCCTGGGGCAAGATGGAGGGCGTAGCCCTTACCCTGGGGCAAGATGGAGGGCGTAGCCCTTACCCTGGGGCAAGATGGAGGGCGTAGCCCTTACCCTGGGGCAAGATGGAGGGCGTAGCCCTTACCCTGGGGCAAGATGGAGGGCGTAGCCCTTACCCTGGGGCAAGATGGAGGGCGTAGCCCTTACCCTGGGGCAAGATGGAGGGCGTAGCCCTTACCCTGGGGCAAGATGGAGGGCGTAGCCCTTACCCTGGGGCAAGATGGAGGGCGTAGCCCTTACCCTGGGGCAAGATGGAGGGCGTAGCCCTTACCCTGGGGCAAGATGGAGGGCGTAGCCCTTACCCTGGGGCAAGATGGAGGGCGTAGCCCTTACCCTGGGGCAAGATGGAGGGCGTAGCCCTTACCCTGGGGCAAGATGGAGGGCGTAGCCCTTACCCTGGGGCAAGATGGAGGGCGTAGCCCTTACCCTGGGGCAAGATGGAGGGCGTAGCCCTTACCCTGGGGCAAGATGGAGGGCGTAGCCCTTACCCTGGGGCAAGATGGAGGGCGTAGCCCTTACCCTGGGGCAAGATGGAGGGCGTAGCCCTTACCCTGGGGCAAGATGGAGGGCGTAGCCCTTACCCTGGGGCAAGATGGAGGGCGTAGCCCTTACCCTGGGGCAAGATGGAGGGCGTAGCCCTTACCCTGGGGCAAGATGGAGGGCGTAGCCCTTACCCTGGGGCAAGATGGAGGGCGTAGCCCTTACCCTGGGGCAAGATGGAGGGCGTAGCCCTTACCCTGGGGCAAGATGGAGGGCGTAGCCCTTACCCTGGGGCAAGATGGAGGGCGTAGCCCTTACCCTGGGGCAAGATGGAGGGCGTAGCCCTTACCCTGGGGCAAGATGGAGGGCGTAGCCCTTACCCTGGGGCAAGATGGAGGGCGTAGCCCTTACCCTGGGGCAAGATGGAGGGCGTAGCCCTTACCCTGGGGCAAGATGGAGGGCGTAGCCCTTACCCTGGGGCAAGATGGAGGGCGTAGCCCTTACCCTGGGGCAAGATGGAGGGCGTAGCCCTTACCCTGGGGCAAGATGGAGGGCGTAGCCCTTACCCTGGGGCAAGATGGAGGGCGTAGCCCTTACCCTGGGGCAAGATGGAGGGCGTAGCCCTTACCCTGGGGCAAGATGGAGGGCGTAGCCCTTACCCTGGGGCAAGATGGAGGGCGTAGCCCTTACCCTGGGGCAAGATGGAGGGCGTAGCCCTTACCCTGGGGCAAGATGGAGGGCGTAGCCCTTACCCTGGGGCAAGATGGAGGGCGTAGCCCTTACCCTGGGGCAAGATGGAGGGCGTAGCCCTTACCCTGGGGCAAGATGGAGGGCGTAGCCCTTACCCTGGGGCAAGATGGAGGGCGTAGCCCTTACCCTGGGGCAAGATGGAGGGCGTAGCCCTTACCCTGGGGCAAGATGGAGGGCGTAGCCCTTACCCTGGGGCAAGATGGAGGGCGTAGCCCTTACCCTGGGGCAAGATGGAGGGCGTAGCCCTTACCCTGGGGCAAGATGGAGGGCGTAGCCCTTACCCTGGGGCAAGATGGAGGGCGTAGCCCTTACCCTGGGGCAAGATGGAGGGCGTAGCCCTTACCCTGGGGCAAGATGGAGGGCGTAGCCCTTACCCTGGGGCAAGATGGAGGGCGTAGCCCTTACCCTGGGGCAAGATGGAGGGCGTAGCCCTTACCCTGGGGCAAGATGGAGGGCGTAGCCCTTACCCTGGGGCAAGATGGAGGGCGTAGCCCTTACCCTGGGGCAAGATGGAGGGCGTAGCCCTTACCCTGGGGCAAGATGGAGGGCGTAGCCCTTACCCTGGGGCAAGATGGAGGGCGTAGCCCTTACCCTGGGGCAAGATGG